TGGTGGGACGACGTGTGCGAGGACGCCCTCAGTATCAAGGGTGGCACCGCTTCCAGCGTGTCCACCGTGACTAACTGCGGTGCCCGCTACGCCGACGACAAGGTCATCCAACACAACGGATACGGCACTGTCAAGATCGACGGCTTCTACGGTGAGGACATCAGTAAGCTCTACCGTTCGTGCGGCACGTGTGGTGACAGACCTAAGAAGGTGTCGGTGACCAACTCGTACATTGTGAACCCGACCAACTCCATCGTGACGGTGAACAAGAACTGGGGCGACCAGGCCACGCTGAAGAACATTTGGATTAAATCGAGCAAGGCGAGCGTGAAGGTGTGTCAGTGGTCTCAGGGCAACGCCAACGGCGAGCCGAAGATGCTGGGCAATGGCCCGTCACCGCCTCTGTGTCAGTACTCGGAGAGTGACGTGCATATCAACGAAAAGTGAATGTGTTCGCATCGACCTACTACATGCAGTAGTTTTAGTAGATGACAAAAGTTGTAGTGTTGTAGTGTAAGAATAAAGTCATAATCGATGTTTTTTTTTATTGACGCGCAAGGAACGATCGCGAATTAAATGATATTGGTCTCCGCAAGTTCCAGAACTATTCACGCATGAATAGGTTCACTCGAATTATTCTTAACATAAACATGATGCTGCTGGAACAGCTTCTACGGGCTTGTCTTCAAGGCCCACACGCTGAGCGTTATTACACTGGCAAGCTAAGAAATTATCTGTAGAAATGCTTTGTTCAGATATAAAAAGCTTTTCTAAAAATGAAATTTCAAATTACTTATGATTTTTAAAAAACCATACTTTTTCTAAATGTTATTATTTTTCTTAGTTAATTACTTTCACACATTCACAAAAAAAATTAGTGTTGCATTGTATTGTAAACGCGTTTCGCGAGCCGTCTCGCCACCGTAGTGGGTCAACTTCCGCATGCGTCGGGTTATCTCTCGTACTCTACGATTCTCTCATCTCTCGGCCAGAGTCCGTCAAGCGGTGTGTGTGCAATTAGCGCCTCTGTTAAGTCCTTCCACCCTGCACGATCATGGGCGCAGAGACGTAGGAGGTAGAGATCTGGTGCACGTTGAAGTCGGTGACCGGCAGAGAGTGTCTGGAGGTGGGCATCAAGGACCATCGGGAGCGTGAGCCGTTGTCTGCCTCGCCATTTTCCAGCTACGCTTGGGCTGAAGTATGCTGACATGAAGCGATACGCGGGTATGCCAGCTGGTCTGCGAAGAATGTGCCCGAATATTCTCCAGCGACTGCGGAGGAGATAGTATCGAAGTGGGGTCGCCTTGGTTCGGTCGTACAGCTTGTCGTTGGGAATCTTACGGGGATATACCATGCCGATCACTTTGCGTAGCTGTTGACGGTGAAACCCTTCAAGGCTAAGCAGTTCGGAGTGGGTGAGTGCCCAGGTCCCGCAGTTGTACAGCAGAATAGGCAGGACATAGCAGCTATAGAGGCGGATTCGTGTCGCTTCCGAGGTCTTTGACGGTCGAAGGCAGACTTTCCACATACGATGCAGAGCTGCCGTCGCGATGTTTTTTCGCCGCGAGACGTCTTCTGAGTCGCCGAGAAGAGAGCCTAACTTCCGTGTGTTGCGCCAGTCTTCGTGTTTAGCGCGGTCGATCCGAGTGGTGTGTGCTGTCGGGCTGCGGTGAATGACAGTGTGCTCTGTCTTCGTGATATTCATCTGGAGTGACCATTTGGCCAGGATGGCTGGGGCCTCTATTTCAATCAGGGTGGCGATTTTGGCACTCCTGCAAATGAAGTCGGCGTCGTCGGCGTACACGATCATGTCCGCGAGTACGTCGTGGGGTACGTCGAGTTGTTTGGCGAGGTCTCTTAGTGCTGCTTCAAGATAAACAACAAACAGAACAGGGGAAAGTGAGTCGCCTTGAGGGGTATCTGTGTTGCTCTCGAATGGTGAGAGCAGGTGTTTGCCATGTCGGAGTGAAAGCTGCGTTTGTCGTAGCAACAGACGGACTAGTCGAAATTCGTCGTCGTCGATGATGTCCTCGAGCACGGACAGGAGTTTGTCGCGGTTGACGGTGTCAAAAGCACGGGAGAGGTCGATGCCGAGTATGTGGAACCGTTCTTTGTATCTCTGAGCGCGTGCTGATATCCACCTGTGGGCCCACACCGCATCCGCGGTG